CGTGGGTGGTCAAGAAAGTAGTAGGTTTGTTTTGTTTTCGCTTCAAGTCATGGTAAAAAAGGAAGAATACTGTTCGTAAAATTCTTTTTTTTAAAAAGTGCAGTATTGAATTTCATATTGTTTTTATAAAAATAAAAATAATCTTATTATAACATAAAATCCTTCAATCAATTAGAGCGTTCGGCTCTAAATGATTGAATTGGTTTTATGTTGTAAAGAGATTATTTTTATTTTTTAACACCATTTTAAGGAGGAAAAAAATAGTTTTAAATCGTAGTAGTCTCTATGATGTAACCTAAGGAAGGTTAGTGAATATAATAATCACAGGAAGGTTAGCAATGAACGATAATACTTAAGACAAGAACAACACATATAAGAATCGCGAGCGGCGCGTAGACGAAGTAGTCAACTGCTAGAAGTGAGCCAAGTTTATTCCACAATGAATCTCCAACTCTAGGATATTTACCAAATGCCCCACGCGGTCAGATGTGACACAAGGCCGAATTTAATGTGGGGTGTCCGAGCCCGTAGGCTTGGCCAAAAATTCCTCGTAGACCCCGTATAAAACGGGGTCGGGTAGCTGTTTCCCGAGACGAAAGTCTGCCCTTCGACATAGCATCGTCTGCGGATCCTCTTTGCCCGCAGACAGAGAGTTTGACCAGCACAGCTGGAGACGAATCTCGAACTCTATGATATCTACCAACGGCCCCACGCGATCAGATGCAACACAAGGCCGAATTTAATGTAGGGCTCCTCTCTGCACGGAGACCCCGACCAGCAAAGCTGGAGACGAATCTCCAACTCTATGATATCTACCAACGGCCCCACGCGATCAGATGCAGCACAAGGCCGAATTTAATGTAGGACTCCCCTCTGCACGGAGACCCCGACCAGCAAAGCTGGAGACGAATCTCCAACTCTATGATATCTACCAGCGGCCCCACGCGATCAGATGCAGCACAAGGCCGAATTTAATGTAGGGCTCCCCTCTGCACGGAGACCCCGACCAGCAAAGCTGGAGACGAATCTCAACTCTATGATATCTACCAACGGCCCCACGCGATCAGATGCAGCACAAGGCCGAATTTAATGTAGGGCTCCCCTCTGCACGGAGACCCCGACCAGCAAAGCTGGAGACGAATCTCCAACTCTATGATATCTACCAACGGCCCCACGCGATCAGATGCAGCACAAGGCCGAATTTCCAACTCTAAACCAACATAGAGTATTTACTACTCTGAATGCCCAAAATTTATTTATTGCATTTCTGAATGATGTTCAAAGTGTTCACAGACAGGGATAGTATTAGTTAAAATAATAATTTCTTTCAGTTTTCTTTTTATCATTTACTTTTATTTGTTTAGTATATTGTATTTTATTACATTAAATAAAGAGTGTTTCTTTTTCTTGTATTATTCCATATACATTTATTTTAATGCATATTTTAATGTTGGGTATTTTCTCAACATGTAGATTACATTCTTTAGTGATGCATTGTTCTTGTAGATTTAGACTCGGAAGGTAGATCACAAATTTAAGTAGTACCTAATTACCTATATCCACAAACTCTAAACTGCATACTTTTGAAGAGAAAAAAGTACTTGGTATAAAATGCTGTAATAAAATGCCATATGTATATGTCCAGGGTGTTCCAAAAATTCACGATGAAGGGGCCGCCATTTTTGGCTTCGCTTTGCGGAGTTCTTAATGAATCTCGCCATTTAAATCGTCCTGCGTTATATACAGTAGATCATTGTTTCTTGAACCGATTGGATGTCGGGAATCAAAGACTACACTTGACCAAACGGAGTTCAGCATAGAATCATAATCGTTTTTGGAATATCATATGAGAGAATTAACGCGACAAGACTTAGTGTTTGAATCTAGCTCATCACAGAATGTACAAATATTTATTGTCGCAAATACAACAAATGTGGCACATGGCCAAAATAGGGTTGGGAGGGAAAAGGATGGTCATCACTTGTCTTAATATAAAACTTAGCTAGCCACAACCACTAACCCTATCATACAAAACAATATTCCTATCACCAAATCAAAACAAGCATCCATACCTTTCATACTACGTCCATCAAAATACCTCTTCGTCTCAATGAAAGTCCTAAATAGTCCCCTTATGTACAAATATTGTTCGTGGGGGGAGGGGAATAAAAAAAACAACAATTTATTAAAAGATCCCCAATGTGTATATACAATATGACATAAAATATTTACAAGAAACTAAACAAAAAGGGAGTTAGTAATAAAAAAAACCCCACAAACCTTAAATGTGGCAGAAATATCAGTTAACCGGACGAAATCAATGCGGGACTATGAAAAATAAAGAAAACATTCATTCCTTCAAAGCATTCACACAGGCACACACACATTCACACACGCAAAACGAAAGGCGCCCCGAATCCACCAGAGAACTGACATCACTGACCACCTAACGAGGGAGGGGATGGGGAGTTAAACTAAAGGGAAAAAAATGGGGACAGAAATAAAAGGGGCCGATGAGTAAACACACCCTAGCTATGTTTACCGAAAAAGGAAAGAAAAACTAAAAAATCAACTACAAAAACCTAAACTAGCTTACTTTTAGGAAGGGTTGCCCAAGTTCAACCCAGGAAAAAATTATCCTGATACCTAACCGGCATCCAAATGCCACTCCAAGTCAGCCCCTTTTACTCGACACAGGCGCGCAAGATTCACCCACCTTTTGCCAAATTCTGATGAGGGGAGCCGCCACCTTTCCGTCCTAATCTTGACTTTAAGCTGATGCTTAAATTACAAGATCAGTTGGGAAGAGGTGAACTTCTCGCCATCTGACGCGTCGTCCAATTCACGACTCTCAACCCCTAGTAAGCAACAGAGCATATAGTGTTCAGCCTTCGTCAATTGCGGCACCACATTGCTACAAACAGAACTGGCTTCAAGGACAAAAAACTTTCCCTGCAGCATGAGAACCATGAGGCCTTCAACAAACTTGCACAACAGCACTACCGTCTTGCACTGAAAAAAGGCGTAACCAATGGTCTCGACTTCCCCAGTACAGCGACGACAGTTTGGATATTTCTCCAAGCCTGCTGAACAAAGTTTCTTGGCGACCCAGAGGGCCCCACGAATCACCAGCCAGGTGAGTGATGCCTCATCATTATTGAGACATTTCAACCCAGGCGCCCAAGGCCATATCGAGCGAGCCTCCTACTTCGTAAGACCGAGCTCGCCAATCAGATCATCTTGAACGGCCCCACTAACTAACAGTCGATACAATGCCTTACGAAACAACGCCTGGGCGTTGGAGAGGCCATCCGACGCATGTAAGAGGAGTTTCAGAGCACGACGACATTCGCGGTAGAAGGAGCACTCAGCTCGGTGTGTACGACCGACCTCCTCCTCGCACGAGTGCACACTTCTCAGGGATGGGAAATGCTTACGGACGTCTTCTTTCCAGAAGGCGCCCCTCCTCATTCGATCCGCGACACATTCGGTCTAGAAAGGTTTTGCGAAGCATATGTTGACGAATCTCAATGCTAGGCATACCCAGACTGCCCTCAGAGGGATGAAGGCAACAGATCTCGCGAGATACCATAAGGGTCTTGTCTCTCCACAAGAAAGAGAACAAGGTCCGAACTAATAAAATTAGTCTGGCATACGGGAGTGGAAGTACAGAGAGTCGGTACAGGAGAATCGGATAGATGTGTGAAACACATACTTCCGCCCTTCCCTTCAGGGAAAGGCTCCTCCGAGACCACAGATTAACCGCGATCTCGGCCTCCCCTTGTACCTCCGACCAATTCATTTCCACCTGGAGATCAGGACCGAACCAGACGCCGAGTATCTTGATCGGCCCATCCGTCCAGAGGAAAGGTCCGGGAAGAGAAACTCCCTTCCACGCACCCAACCGCAAGCAAACAGACTTATCGCAGTTGATCTTGGCTCCTGTCACCATCTCATACCCACTGATCTTTTTGCTGACTTCGTCAATCTCGGCTCTGCTCGACACAAGAACCGAAACGTCGTCAGCATAGGCAGAATACCTGGCTGAGGTGGTAGCCCCAGGCAGGGCAATTCCGCGCAGGACCGGATTCGCCTTTAACTTGCGAAGAACGTAAAGCAAAGGCGAGAGCGGACAACCTTGACGAATGGAGCGAGACAATACGAAAGGCTTCGATCTTACCCTATTCACCTCCACCAGCTCACCGGGGGTCGCATAAAAAAGTCGGATCCAGGAGCGAAAGTCGGCTCCGAAACCGGCCGCCGAAAGAACAGCCTCCAGAAAACGATGGTCAACCCTATCGAAGGCCTTGGACTGATCTAAATTGATCAGCGCGGCTTCACTGTCGACTTTTTCTAAGATCAAGCGTACCATATGAAGGTTATCCTGAATAGTCCTGCCCTTCACAGCACAAGTCTGTTCGGGGTCTATTAGACTAGACAGGACAAGCTGCAAACGGCTGGCTAAGATCTTCGCCAAAATCTTTAACTCAGTGTTTAACATGGTTAAAGGGCGAAAATTCCCTAACCCATCCCCACCGTTCTTGTCCTTACGCAGCAACTTGATCACACCCCTGGTGAACCGTTGAGGTATAGATCCCTGTTTCATCCAGTTGTTGAAAATCAGTTCCAGCAAAGGAACAAAACGGGCGACTGCCTCAAGTAAACTTCGTAGGGAAGACCATCCAGTCCCGGAGATTTATCCAGGCCAACCCATCACAGAATGTACAGGGTGATTGAAAAGTAACTCCCTATTTTATATATACTGGGCTTTCCGGTCATTTACAAATTATAGTTAAACGGAAGAGTCCATCATACATAAAATAGAGAGTTACTTTTCCATCACCCTGTATACATACACATGTTCACACAGAAATGGAAACGGGGTTTAAAAGTAACATTACTCCTTAAGTAAGCAATATTATTTATTTATTTTTATGTAATAATGAAGGTCATTAAATAGAAATTTAATTCAGTTAACTATAGAAAATAACGCACGGTAAATGGCCACCATTTTGAGCTTTGGTATGCACAGGCTTTATCGTTATTTGTTAACTCTTATATTCTTCCAACTCTGTTAAGTTGCTGCTCATTTATGATTTTTATTGCAATATTTTGCTAAGGTTTTTAAGCTTACGATGCAATAGGGAAGTTTCTACCGATTCTATTTTCGTAGACCTCACCATGAGCTTATTCCTTTATTAACTTAAGAATTAAGATTAATAAGAAAATTCAAATGGGAAAGCCGTGAAATTAACGTATATTCTAGTTGTTCGATTTTCCATTGCTGGCTGGATTACTTATTAATGATCATCTCTTCCCCAAGTAACATGTACGGAGTTACACGGTTATCAGCAGCGGGAAATAATCCCTGAATTCACCAATTGGACGAGGTGGGGGCCATATTCTTATCCGTGCAAACAACTACAGTCGGAATTTGAATTCATTCCCCAATCGCATTTTTCATTGTGTTCATTGCTCAGCCAATTTTACACTTCCTTTCTAAAAACAGGATAACTTTTGAGAAAATTTCCTCTTCTTTCAAGATATGCTTTTTATATATATATATATATATATATATATATATATATATATATATATATATATATATATATGTGTGTACAGTGTAACCCGGATATAAGAGAAACCCGGATATAAGAGAGATTGTCTCTGGTCCCAAATTAGAGCCTGTGTTAATGTATATAAATTAGACCAAACCCGGATATAAGAGAAACCCGGATATAAGAGACTTCTTCTCCGGTCCCGACAACTCTCTTATATCCGGGTTACACTATATATATATATATATATATATATATATATATATATATATATATCGCCTTTGATGCTCATAAACCAGTTCTGGTATAACCAACCTACTTTTGTCATTAATGATGTTGTCCCAACAAATATTGCTTTCTGATGAAATAGGAGAAAAAAAAAGTTAAAACGGTTAAGAATAATCTCTTCTGGATTTCTGGGATTAGGAATTATCCCTATTTATATCATTTACACGTAGACTATTTTCTTTATCCTTGTTGTTGTCATCTCAACCTTTCGGCAGTTGTGCTCCCCGGACGTCATCATTTCATTGTCGATCCGGGTAACCTAACAGGAATTTCGAACTGAACACTTTATTTAATTCACGGGGATTGATTGTTCCCGTCTCACTGCACTTGCCCAGTTTCCAGTTATTCACACACTGCCTGGTCATAGTATTTGCTATTTCAGGTGGGAAATGTTTATAGTAAAGGTTATCTGGTGAAAGTTATGTTGATCGGAACAAGGTCTAGTAATCCATTGACTTAAATGAAATGATCAAAACAATAAAAGGTAGAATTCACCTCTGAACTATAATCCTTGCTTTCATCATTTCTTTCATTCTTACCGATTTTCCGTGTTTCTGTTTTTATTGCTTGTGTTCTTTCTGTTTTATTTGCTTGCTTACTTTAGATTTTGCCCGTGTTCTTTCTTTCCTATTTTTTGAATTCCTTCATTTTTTTTCTTTCTTTGGCTTTCTTTCGGGATGTCTTATCTTTTATACCCCGCTTTCTTTCGCATATAATTAATTTTATTTCAGTTTCATTCATTTTGTGTTCCTTGTGGACTTCCCCTCTTATCTTTTATCTATAATTTTCTGAATCTGTTCTTTCTTTCTTTCTTTCTTTCTTTCTTTCTTTCTTTCTTTCTTTCTTTTCATAAATGATAGTTTTTTTTTCACCAAATTATTAAGAGGATAGGTTCATCCTGTACATACCCTGCCTTGGTCTTTTTGACAGGAGTAGCAGTTTATCCCTTGTTCCCTGTTTAGGATTGGGTTTACGGTGCCTTTTAAATTTTTTTACTTCTAACGTTCCTGCCTGAACTCTGAAATTTTATACCAGAATTAAATCTTGACCTCTTCAATTCTAGAATTACTGTTCCTGGACAACCCCAAGCACTTCACTTCTTGCCCTTTCTTACGCTCATACAACAATACACAATAACGCTCTTTCTTGAATGACTCTAAGGTCTTGTTTTGGGCGTAAATTAGTAAAAAAAAAATTCGGTTTTTCAACCTTCTCTATTAATTTTTTTCTTTACTTGCTTTGCTTTCTTTCTTACCTTCTTTTGTTTACTTGATTTCTTTTTTTCTCTATTTCTATTTTTAAAATTTCATGTTCTTTACAATTTCTTTTCCTTCTTTCATATACTGATATATTTTTCTTTACCTTCATTGTTTCCCTTCTTAAATCCATTCTTCTTTTTTATATACAGTGTAACCCGGATCTAAGAGAGTTGTCGGGACCGGAGAAGAAGTATCTTATATCCGGGTTTGTCTTATATCCGGGTTTGGTCTATTTTATATACATTAACACAGGCTCTAATTTGGGACCAGAGAAAATCTCTCTTATATCCGGGTTTATCTTATATCCGGGTCTCTTATATCCGGGTTACACCGTATTTGATTGCTCTTTTTCATACTTTCTTTTCGGTTTTTGTCTATCGTACACGTTCTTTCGTATCATTTATACAATGCTAACTTTTAAATACTTTCTTTTTTTCTTTTCTCACTTTCTTTAATTCGTTTTTTCTCTCTTTTTCTCTTTTCTATATTATTTTCTTTTTCTTTTTTTTTCTTTTCTTCCTTTGCTATTTTCTTTCATATCGGTTCTCTTTTTTTTGCGTTTTTTTTCTTTTCTTTTCTCTCAAGATTTCCTACCTTATCTTTTCTTTCACATAGTTCACTCATTCTTTATTTATTTTTCTAGATTTACTTTCCTTAGACATTCTTTCTTTCTTTCATTTCTTTCTTTTCAAATATGATTTTGGATATTATTTTTAGTCTTTACTTTGCTCTTTCACTCTCTTTTTCCGTTTAACTTCATCGACTTTCTTTTCTTTCTTTTGCGCACTCTCTCCGTCGCATTTTTGTCGTTGCTTTTGTTGCTGTTGTCTCTGCTCTGTTCTCCGACAATTTCCCTGTATTGTCCTTTTCCTTTCTTTTATTCAGTTTTTCCTTCTTTCTTTCTACAATTTCTTTTTCTGTGTACACACCCGCTACTTATTCTCCCCTAAAACATGTTGCGGTTTTCACCAAACTCCTATTCTCTCCCCACTATTATCTTAACATACACTCTCGTACACACCCACCTTCCTTACTGAATCGTCAAATACACATCACTTCTAACCATCGTCTTTCTGTCCGCCTTCTTTTTCTCTCTATTTCTATCCTCTCTCTACTATTCTCTCGCTTTCTCTATCTCTCTCTCTCTCTCTCTCTCTCTCTCTATCTATCTATCTATCTATCTATCTATCTATCTATTTGTGAAAGCTTCTTTCTCAATCATCGTGTACTTTATAGTTTTGCTAACGCCATTCTCTTCTCTCTCTCTCTCTCTCTCTCTCTCTATCTCTCTATTTTCTATTCTCCTTCTTTTTCTATTTACTCTCCTTTTTTCTCTTTCTCCGGTCTACACAAAAAACACGTCTAATATCCTGTCTCTGTACGCAACACACAAATTAAGCGATAATTAAATTTAACAATAGCAGACACACAAATGTAAATTTTGGTCTCTTAAGTAAAAAAAAAAAAAAGATTAATAAACGGATGATTTCGAACCACCAATGCCAGTATTATTCACTGGAGTCGATGGGCTTAAGCGGTATTTTTTTCTTCTTAAAAAACCAATTGAAAATTTTTCAATAAACAGGCTGTAATTTAGTAATTTTCGACGAAAACGAGACGGAAGCGATTAGAAGGAAAATAGTTAATTTCTACAAAGAAAAAGAAATTTTTAATAAAGAAAGAGATAAAATTTATGAAGCTTATCTGTACATTTCGTTTTCTCTTTCGTTTTGTTGTTATTGTTGATAACAATGTCAAGAGTGTGGAATGGCGTAAATTGAAGAAAGGAGAGACCGCTGAAAAAGAGGGAAACGTAGAAAGTAATAAGAGCATGAGGAACTGAGAGAGAAGGAAGAAAAGAAAGATAAAATGATCTTTGAAAGAGAAAGAAAGAGCGTAGATTATTAATTTGAAGATCAGACTAAGATAGTACACATTATATACTGATATATATATATATATATATATATATATATATATATATATATATATTGTTATCCTTATCTTTTCTATATACTATTTATTATCATTCTTAATTATATATCCTTTCTTACTACGGCAATTACTAGGTCATTTCATTTTGCATCCCTTCTGCATTTCCTAGTGTTATTTCCCTTTCCTTGTCACACTCAATTCTTTTTCTTTTTATGTTCCTTGATTTCTTTCAAGACTTTCCTCTAGCTTCTTTTAATCAGCCTCGTTTTGGTTCCCTTCCTTATTTCTACAACGAACGTGACTTTTTCTTTCTCCATTTTTCTTTCTTTAACGATTATCATTCAATGTTTCCAGTGTTCTGTTATGTCTTCATCAGCTCCTTCTCCTTTCTCCCTTATTTCTCCTCATCCTTCTATTTTCCTTCTTTCTCCTAGCTTTCATCATTTTTCTTGATTGCCTGACCCCGCGGTGATTTCTAGTGACTATCTATGATTAATAATTTGAGTCGACTAATCAAACCGACGAAAGCAGCGCGTCCCATTTCGAAACGTCTTCGTTTAGGAAAGACAGGCCGGAAATTAGTGAAACAAGATTTGATTAGTGTATCTGTTAGCCTTTGTATTTGCCTATTAAGCATTTACCAAACTTAGGCGGGTCATCTTCTGTCATTACTATTACGGCCTGCATTGAAAGATGTCTTCTGTTGAGACATCCCACACTTCCAGCACGTGCCATCCACTTTTTCATAACGAACTTTTTTTTTACGTGGCGCATAAAGCGTTATGCTGGGTTTTTTCATCGTGTCAAAATTTACAACCAGTTTTACTACAGCCTTCATTCAAAATAGATGTTTCTCGGAATTAAATTTTTCATTTATTAAGCTATAATTAGTCTAACACAGGAGTCACTGCGAGATGAGTTTGTTAACCACTGCATTAGCGTAAATATAAACACGAACTGAAGGACATCCTCTGACGAGGCAGTAAAGCCATTAAAACACAGGGGATTAGTAAGTATCAAACAATACGAAAAAGAAAAACATTATTAACGAACGAGAACAATAAAAGAAGAGGAATTAAGAAAACAGTAGATAACGATTGACATTGTGTTTAAATTTTTGAAGGTCAAAGTTGACTAGAAAGCAAGAAGCCGGAAGAAAGTTGCACAAGTGAAAAATACGAGAAAATAAACTGTTAGCATTGAATCGACTGTAAATTGATGAGGATTTTTTGCCAATCTAGTACGGCGCTTAAGTTAATAAAGTCTAGGTACCATAGACGTAAGTTCATCAGAATAATTACCATGAAAGTATTTATAGAAAAACCACATGGAAACCATATTTTAATGGTGGGAAAATGGCTGAAGGCGATATCTTTGTTGTTACTACGATGTTTCGCGGAATTACTGTACAGCCTACTTTGAATCGGAGTTCACCAGCATAATAAATCCTACAGGCATAAGATTTGTTAGACTTAGTACCTCAGGAGAGAAGTACATAATGAAAGACAGTGTTAGAAAAAATATGATTGATCAACTGGCCACTAAACTCAGTTATCACCAAGAAATCCATATTCAGGAATGGAACGGAATAGTCTACAGAGCGAAGGGTTCAGTTTATACTTTCGGAAATTACCTCCGATTAATAGATGGGGAACATCTCTGGAGTGTGAGAAGATGAAAGAATCTCGCAGACATCGGCCTAAACGCCATCTGAATATAAAGACAATCATTTCGGGCTTAATTGCGATTTACAAGAGAAAAATGGAACAGCATCACCAGTAATTTTAAAAATAGGCTTTCCTGGTGCTAAGAAGACGGGTTGCACGGTTGTCAGTAAAAGGATGAAACCGAAATGCAATTTGAAGATCCGGAATACTAGAAACAAGCAGACACGGAAGTTTAAATATCTGGGACGCATCTTGACAGAGGACGGCAAGTGCGACACTGACATCCCCAGGCGTATTGGGATGGCCAAAGACACATTCCAAAAGCTGGGCAGAGTAATGCGAGACAGGGGGATATCTTTAGTAACAAAGAAAAGAACACTGAACTGTTACGTGACATCTCTCCTTCTTTACGGCAGCGAATGTTGGACGATTTCCTCAAAGATGAAGAAGAGACTCGAGACGACAGGGATGTGGTTCTACAGAAAGATGCTAAGGATATCATGAACCGAGCGTGTGAGCAACGTTGAGATCTTAGAGAGGTTGTAAACAAGGAGGAGGCTTATACTTAATATCAGGAAGAGACAGCTGAAGTTTCTGGGACACATAATGAGGAAGGAAGGAAACAATATGTGACATACCTGGCGGACAATGACAGAATATGGTCTGGGGGAGAAAGTAGAGAGAAGGAACTTGCAATGGATAGAGGGACATGGAGAGCCTTGAACGCCTACGTCCTGAAAGGACATGGCATATAAACAGAAAAAAAAATGCTAAGAATGAAATCAACATTATGGCACACGTACATGGGAATCAAATGAACTGATCAGTATATCTACCACCATGTTTTTTATTTGCTACTATTTTCCAGCAAAAATAGCACCTCCCTCTTTCCATATAGGTTATATGCGCCCCTCTAGATTATTTTTACTCTTAGAATGGTTACCATCCAAGACTAAATCTACCTCTGTTATTTAACTCATAGCTGGTGGTGGGGAATAGATCGATTCATAATTTTCCCATGGGTATTTTTGCAAACACAACAAACTAGACCGGAATTTGAAATCATCTCAACGATTCCAGATTCTCCTTTGATATCCGTTACACAACCCACACACCCGAGCTAAGGTAATTAGATTTAAAACATCAGAATTGACTTAGATTAAAAATAATTATGTGATGAAACCTTAATTAAAAGGTGTCTCAAAGCTACTTGCAGCATTCAAAAAGTGGGAGGAAATTGAACAATATTAAAATCATCACTTTTAAGGAAGGTCGTTAAAGAAAGCGTGAAGAAAGGACTAAACATAAACTGCAAAAAGACAATGCATTTTTGTTAGCAAAACGATGAGCCAAAATTCAAATTACAAATTGGGGATACCAAAACAAAACTAATACAAAAAAATTATTTAGGAATGGTTCTAACAGAGGACGGAAAATGCGACACTGAAATCCGAAGACACATTGGGATAGCTTGTAAGAATGTTTGTTTAGATAATAATGGTTAAGTGAAGTCTTACTATTTAATCCATAGCTGGGAGAGAAGAAATGAATTCATACCTTTCCCAAGGGTATTTGCGTGTAAGTTTATATAACAAACCCAAATGGGATTTGGAGCTCGACTCTCCAATTAATAATTTCGAGCCATTATTCATTACACCACCTGCACATCCAAGCTTACGTCACCTGGTATTCTTAAGCGGCCACCCGTCTAAGTACTGACCAGGCTCGACGTTGCTTAACTTCGGTAATCGTACGGGAAAAAGTGTTTCAACGTGAGGTGGCCGTAAGGATCATCTCAATATAATATGACATATAAAGAGCAGTAGATAAGTTGCAGAATCATTCAACAGAACGAGAATCGTATTAATATGTTCTATAGGAAGAACATTAAGCGTCAGAAACATTCGAAAGGGTCATGGGTATCGAAAGATAACATAAGGGCATTATCCATTGCTTCAATCTGTTGTATTGTGCTTTCAGTAGGTAGAACTTTTACATCTCGGACAAACTATGCGAAGTCCACAGACTCGAATCATTGTATACGTGATAGAAATTAGGTTCTACTCGACAGTTTGTCAAGAACTGCCGCAATGTTGGTCAGATTGTCGCGTGGCTGCTCCCTTGAGCACATCAGATTTCTCCAGTCAAGGTTCAATAGTTAATGTTACAGAATGAAGAGGCTAGGGCCATTATGGCCAGAGATTGCAAGGGTGCCTCGTGGGCGTGGTATTCTGACAGTGATGGATTACCTTTACCTGAGTTTTGTATATAATTCCAAAATTCAGAATTCAGCAGAAGACCGCAAGAATTTTGAAGTGTCGATATGTCTCCCACACTCAAGACCGGCTAAGACCAGCTACAGAAGGACCGTGAGCCAACGTGCAACATGCGTCCCGATGATGCCAGTTCTCCAGCTACCTGCTTAGAATCCAATCTGCCACCAATCTCTCCTAATAAAACGAATAAGAAAAAGAAATTGTCCCTTTCGCTGATACCATTTTATGTAGACTCAGAAACCACACTGTATGCAACATTATCATTCCTCCTTATCCTTAAAATCTTCACTTCTTATCATCATTTATCTATATCACTCAGCTCGTTTATCATTACCCCGTCTGCTAGTCACCTCTACCTTGCGTGGCTCTCAAGCTTTGTACTGGGTAAAATTTAAATAAAAAAAAACATTCAGAGAGATTACCCAGGTGAGCCTTTGAAAGGCAACGCATTTAAAAAGTGAAGAGCGTTGTTTGTTTCGCAAAGAATGTGAAGCAATTAAAACACATTCGCACAAAACTGACCACCATCGATTTCATAATTGTCGTATACACGAGTGGGGTTTCTTTGCCTTATGTGAGAAATAGACGTTTCAGTGAATTTGTATTTTTCATTTTTGCACAAACAACTTCACGATTGTTCACAAGTGGGCCACGACAGTTGTTTTGAGTGCGCGCTTAACGTTGAAGCGGAAGGAAAACTTTCCGCCTGATGTCATGAAGACGCTAAACACATTTGTCAATTTTCTACGTTGTTTTCCGCACTTAAACAATATTTGTCTCCCAAAAAATATTTCTGATAAAATGAGGATTTGAAATCATAATGCGAGAAACAATAGGCACCGCAAGCATAAACACGCATGACACTCCACTCTTTCCTCTCTCCCTCTCTCTCTTCTCTCTCTCTATATATATATACACACACACACACACACACACACACACACACACACATATATATATATATATATATATATATATATATATATATATATACTGAAACATACAATGACGCAACTACTTGAGTATGATATGAATATAGACCACATTTTGATAGATAGATAGATAGATAGATCGGGAGAGTGAGAACGAAGGAACGACTTTGCGCCTGACAGAATGACACGAAAAGAAAGAAAGAAAGAAAGAAAGAAAGAAAGAGATTACGTAATACCCAAAATTCAATGAACTGATTTCAAGAAGACGCTTGTCTGCTTTCCTGTAAATTCAGATTTCTAAAGTTTAGTAATTTATTATAAAGTTTGGTCAGGTATCATCCTTTTCTTATTTATAGGCTCTTCAAATGGTATAGCTATAGATTGATTCGTTTTCGACTGTTTAGCAACCTTTTCGAGTTTATTTAAAGTCAAACAATACTTTTAGATTGCAAGAATTTGTTTTTAAAAAATAAGTGTTTAGTGAAACAAGTCTTACTATTTAATCCGTAACTGGGGCGAGAAAAGGTGAATTCATATCTTTGCCAAGGATATTTGCACGTAAAGGAAAATAATGAACCCAACAGAAACTGGGAGTCAGCTCTCGGATTAACAATTTTGAGCCATTATCCATTACACCTCACTCATATCCAAGCTTGCATCACCTGGTATGCCCAAGCAGTCACACATCTAGGTACTGGCCAGGCTCGCCATTGCTTAACTTTGGTAATCGTACGGGAACGAATGTTGCCACGTGGTATGGCCATAAACCACTGAAACATGTTATAAGAACAGAAAAGAAAATTGTAATGACAGGCTACTCGACCCCGTTTTATACGGGGTCTATGATAAATTTTTGGTCGAGCCTACGCGATCGGTACCCCACATTAAATTCGGCCTTGTGCCAATTCTGACCACGTGGGGCGGTTGGTAGATATCCTGCAGTTGGTAATTAATTGTGGAATGCACTTGACTCACTTCTAGCAGTTGACTATTACTTCTACGAGACCGCTGGTAAATCTTATGTGTCGTTTTTATCCTCAGTATTATCGTTCATTACTAACCTTCGTGTGATTTTTCTATTCAGTAATCTTCCCTAGGTTGCAACATATCGTCTATTTCTTACTTGGTTATCGATTCACCCTAAGTTTGGTTGGCAACTGTTAATGATATGAAAGTATAAAAATACATTTCTATAGTAAAAACACCAGCAATACATGTTTATATAAAAAATACCAACGATACATAGTTATAGTAAAATTACTAACAATGCATTTTTTAAGCAGAATTACCAACACTAAATTTTATAGCAAAATTACCAACAATAAATTTTATCTGTTTCAATAAAACGGCGTCCAAAATATTTAGATTTCATTGTTAAATAAACCATAGAATTTGATATGCTGCTAAACAAAATCAACCAAATAACCAAAAATTAAACATCATAGAAGAAAGGTAATGCCGTTCATGTGCTGGGATCGTCGGGGTATTATTCATTTAGAATTCTTAAAACACAATCAAACACTAAATGCACATTTATACGCCCAGCAGCTGCAACGTGTCCATAAGAGCTTGGTCAAATGTTCCCTGTGAACACAAATAGAGAAAATTTTGCCCATTCTGTTAATGCAAGACCGTATAGTTCAGGAAAAATAATGGAATTATATAAAGCCACCCGAGACTCGATGAACAACTCAGTAGAAAGCGAGTACAGTCATAAAATACTCTGTTCATGGTGGGGAGTAACCCGATACGTTCTGGGTGTAAGGTGGGCGATATTGTACAGCTAATATATCAAACCTAAGGGAACGAGTGAATGAAACACAACCTGAACAAAATCGCGAAGTGACTGATCTTGCGATTATGTGTGATAGAAATGATGTATCCCAACCCACTATGTTTATTTAAACTTGCGCCAAACGATTGTTAATTTTTGTTCCTTTGTTGCAAAACACTTTACCGCGGAAAACTTTCTCAAATGAAAATCAATGTGAAGTGAACGTTGAAAATTTTTCACATCAAAATCTGCGTAATTTTAAACAAATGTTATGGAAAACCTGTCTGATAATTGGGAAAATTCTTCATCTCCGATGTGTTGTTGTCCAGCATGGCTCTCAGCAACTTACTGTTCTTTGTTTTGTTTTTTGTCTCTCATTCCCAATCATTGACCTGCCACCTATTTTCACAAGCTCGTTAGGTCGTTTACTTGCTTATTTACTCTATCCCTCTTTCTTCCAACATATCCTGTGAGTGTCGCATTCTCTAAACCCACTTTTCACCTTATGTGACCTAAAAATTTCAACTGTTTCTTTCAGATTTTATGTAAGAGTGTGCTTCCTCGTTGATCACATGGTCAGCCCATGATAATCTCAGTATCCGCCATTGAAAATAATAATGAAAATAAACGGTGTCTCCCCCAAAATAGACATTATATTTTAGTCTATTAACATAGCCAAATCTCACTCAAATGACCTAAAATTTTCACAAAATGTGTAAAAACTAAGTTGTCTGTGCGGACTTAACTCAATGTCAATCTACTAGGAAGATGAATCGGGCGTACCAATGATAATGGCAATGTGCTGTTGAAATGGTCACCACGTTCACTTGACACCATGTGATTTTTTTTCTAATGCGGCTATATGAAAAGACAGGTCTATATCCCCCTCATTCTACAAACCTAGAGGAACTTAAGCAGAGAATCACTGAGGCGTTGGAAAATGTCACGAAAAATATGCTACAGCGTGTTTGGTAGGAGCTAGACTACCGACTTGATGTGTCTGTCGTGTCACAGGTGATGTGCATAATGAAAATTTGTGAAGCTTTGTGAAATCGATTATAAAATCTACATCCCTTTAAATATCTTGTTTGAATTTTGAGAAATAAATATTTTCTTATTCAATATGAAGTCTGTTTAGTTTCGTTTGTAGTTACTCAGATATTTAGATTTTGTATAATGTCTCCAAACCTAAACTTCTCTCCGTTAATCATCTGAGAGATTCCTCTCTGCCTTCCATCAGCATGGCTGATGCTAACCTCCAGGGAAGTGGATCGTGTGCGCCTTCTCGGGCTAACGTTATCAGATAACATCAAGTGGAAAGACTATATGAAATCCATTGATACGTCAGCTGCTAAAATTTGGTTCACTGTATCTTGCGAAATATTTTTTCCCACCAGAATCTATCTTACATGTCTACCATTCGCCCATGCTTAGAATATTGTTGCCACATATGGTTCGGTGCACCTGCTATTTACCTTGAGCTCCTTGATAAAATCTAAAGAAGAATCAGCAATATTATTGGACGTGATCTGGCAGCTTGGTTTCACTCACTTTCCCACCACCGTAATGTTGTTTCTCTGTGTCTTTCAATAAATACTTACATGGTAATTGTTCGGATGAGCTCTTCGCTATGGTATCTAGACTTTTTTAATTTAAGTGCAGTACTAGACGGGCTGCCGGAGTCATCAATTTACAGTTGAGCTGGCTAGATATAACTGTAAGTTCTCTGATAACAGTTCTTTTATCGCACTTCTCACTTGTGGAAATCCCTTCTGGTTCCATACTTTCCAGCCTCCTTTAATCTGAAAAAAAATTAAATGCAATGTCAATCGCTATCTACTATCCTCCTGCTTACTCTTTTCTCTTCCCGCTCATTATTAATGTTTCTGTTCTTAATTTTTCCACACCATATAACCCCTTGTGTTGTAGTGGCTTTTTCATGGGGAGATACCGATTAAAAAATAAATTATTTTTTTGGTAGTTACAATTTCTGAGTTTGTTGAGGGCTGGTGTATGCGCTGAGAGATAAACATATATGTCTCCAGAAAAAGCCCACAACAAACATGGCAGACTCAGGATGTGAGTCCACGTAAAGAAATGTATTTAACGGCAAGAACCAATATAAGAGACCCGGATATAAGAGAAACCCGGATATAAGAGAAACCCGGATATAAGAGAGATTTTCTCTGGTCCCAAATTAGAGCCTATGTTAATGTATATAAAATAGACCAAACCCGGATATAAGACAAACCCGGATATTAGAGACTTCTTCTCCGGTCCCGACACCTCTCTTATATCCGGGTTACACTGTATTTACAGTGTAACCCGGATATAAGAGACCCGGATATAAGAGAAACCCGGATATAAGAGAGATTTTCTCTGGTCCCAAATTAGAGCCTGTGTTAATGTATATAAAATAGACCAAACCCGGATATAAGAGAAACCCGGATATTAGAGACTTCTTCTCCGGTCCCGACAACTCTCTTATATCCGGGTCACACTGTATATGTATAAACAAATGGTGTATTAACAACAAAGGGTTACAAGTGACAAAGACAATAATGTGTGTAACGTGGAAACTTTATATTGTGTGTGTGAATCTATTGTTCATGCGTTTCCCAAAAGAAAATGCGTTCTTCCGCGAGAGATTTACATGTTGTCGTATAAGCGGAAAAGTAAAAAGAGAATGATCAAAAATTATCGTAGAGTATTTAGAGTGCCGGATAGCGTCCCCTAGCAACGGTTTCGAAAATTAAATGGAGGTAACTCGACAACTTCAATGGACAGTGAACGCCTGTGATATTGACCTTGTGCCCAACTAAGGAGTCTCTTGTAAATATCTAAATATATTACACGCGAAAACATCCGCAAACAGCAACGCCAGATCGCATATGTTTGAGAACGTAAGTTCAAGCATGCGCACAGAGGCGCTTAAAAAGCGAAGTTAAAAAAAAAAAGAATATGGAAGACAAACAATCGAAAACATCATGTTCTCGACAGACGATTGAATGTCAATTTCCCTTTCGTTTTCCGCACAAAGACACGGAAAACTGCTCACTCAAATCTTTTATTATTCGCTAACAAACATATTCACGCGTCAATATATTTATAGATAATGTCAGAGATCCGAAGAGACAAAAAAAAAAGAGAGATTTAAAGAAAGCATCGGAACTGTTAAAATGAAGAACGTGACAAACATACACTTTCATAAAAATAGTGAAAAAAATTACAAAAATTTGATGTATATAGACGTATATTTAAACACTTACGTTTTTCAAGTCTGTGCATATGTGTGTGTCTGTGTTTGTGTGTGTGTGTGAGGGAGAGAGAGAGATCGCGCACTTCGGGTTTATCGTCATACGAATGTGTATAATATTAAACTTATGTAAGTAAATATCTGGAAAAATTGAATTTATCAAGTAATAATGTATATATCACAATGTTTTATAGTATATAGTTTTTAGCATAGTACCCAGCAAAAGTAGTTTCTTTGGATATGTAAACACCAATTTCATAAAGGGTAGTGTTTAGAAACATTACGCTTGGTGGAATACTGATATGTACAGGCATTATTAATTGTATCTGCTTAAATGCCATATTACTAAGATCTACTAAAGACCGAAAAGAGAGTACTGTAGGCAATAAAGACTAGTTAAAACGGACCAAAGTTGTATTGTTTGTTTTATTCATTTCACCACAAGCAAAGCAATAAAGCTGCTAAGACGCAAGGGGTCACTGAGTGAAAGAATATAAGAAAAAGAAAACATTATTACAATAAATCAATACGAATTAATAAAACAGAAGATAACGATTAACCTTATATTTAAATTTAAAGTGCGATAAAAGAAACCATTAGCGTAGAATTTGCGGTGACATCTAGACATTTCAGCTTAAAACGCCGAGACCTAACCGCCAATATAAGTCTTGCTTTTAAACTCATAAAGTCTATGTATCACACAGGAAAGTTCATCAGAACAATTACAATCGAAATA